CTTCCGATCTAAGAGGGCATCAGATCCCCTGGAACTGGAGTTAGAAATGATTGTTAGCCACCATGTGGGTGCTGGGAAATGAACCTGGATCCTCTGCAAGAGCAGCCAGTGCTCTTAATCACTGAGCCATCTTTCCAGCCCCACATTTTTAAATAAATGACAAAAAAAAAATCAAAAGAACAATATTTTGTGACAGATGAAAATATGTGAAATTCAGATTTCAAATATGTATTAGTGGGACATAGCCACACCTTGTCTAGATGCTTGGCTCTACAGCAGAAGAGGTGAGTAGCCGTGGCAGAGACCATGTGGCCCACAAAGCCTAAAACATCTACTCTGAGGCTCTTTGTAGAAAGTTTGCCATATTTGCTCTAAATTACCCTTCTGCAGAGTCTACGAGTCCCCGTAAATCTGGCTCCAGGTAAGAGAAATGGAAATATCAACATAACATGAGGGGCAGGATGGCTTTCCCCAATTCAGCGATGGAGAAAGGGCAGGATGTAATCAAGACTGTTAGCAGACCTGTCCCGGCTCTGCCAGTAGCATCCCTCCATCATGGCACACTGTCCTGGGCCTTCTTGCCTGGTAGCCTGCTGTGCTGTTGTTATCAACCTGAGTCCTATGTTTCTAGGGGTGCTGCGTATGGTACTCTTGCACCAGACATCATACTCTTTTCCCCTCAGGATTCCAATCTCCCTACAAAATAATTCAATAATTATGCCCTGGTTGTGATGGAACAGTAGCTCAGAGGCTAAGGCTAGCCCATAATTACCTCTCCTTCCATCCCTACAGAATTCCTAAAACTCCCTTACTACTTGTGGAAGAAGATTCCCAGAGGTAGTGATGAGCCAGGACTATGGTGCGCGCGCTCTCTGGGCGCACTCCCGGAATGGCACGGCGGGTCCGCAGGCTCCCCCGCCGTGCGTCTGGAGGAAGGCAGGTCTGGCCCCACGGGCTTCTCCGTGTCTCTATGGGTCTCAGGCGTGGGGTGTGCCGGTATCTCGGGGTCACTCTGGGCCCCTGGATCTCGGGGTCCCCGCCACACCTGGCTAGTCACTGGCGGGTCTGGCCACAGGCGTCTCTGGCCATGACGGTGGGTGCCCTGCAGGCTTTTCCCGGCGGCTAGGGTCCCGTGTCTCTGGAGCTTCTCTGCTGCAGAAGCATTGTCCTGCCGAATCCTGTCCCTAATCCACCCGTGTACGTTTCCTCAGGATGCGAGGTCCACTGGCCACTGAACCTCGCGGGAGAAGTACGGGGACAGCGAAAGCTAGGATGTCCATAAGCCGGTCACGAGGGAGTGCTGCCCCCCGGAGAGATTGGGCCGCCAGTAGTGACACAAGACTGAAGACTCAGCTTTAGCCTGTGTTACAGCTTTATTCTCTGAGACCCAGCTCTCTGTGGCCCAATTCTCTGCAGCCCAAATCTCTGACTATTAAGAGAAGACTAAGACATTTATACCATGGGGGTAGTGGTAAAAGCTTTGGCTGTTAGATGCTTTGTGAGGCATTCTATTTACATATGGAAGTGGGTTCCTGCCAGACTGCTGTCTGCCTGGAAAAATCACACAGGAAAGCATGGTACCTTTCAGAGCCAAAGGCCAGTATCATCGCCAGCCCTAAGAGCCAACTCATTTCATCTCGGGAAAATCCAAAGTTTGATAACTGACCATGACCTGTTTCCTGTAGTGATTTTAGCAAATGGCAGTAATTGTCAGCAAAGAAATCTTAAAAAACAGCGAGCAAGCACAATACACAGTATCATTAGAGG